CACAATTGTTATAATTGTGGACTAGTCTTTTGTCATGCATGCAGCTGTAAGAAGTGTCTTAAGGCTTCCATGGCTCCAAATCCCAACAAACCTTATCGTGTCTGTGACAATTGTTTTAATAAACTGAGGAAAGCCATTGAAACTGATGCATCATCTCAATCTTCTGTAACTAGAAGAGGAAGCATAAATTATGGGACTAGTGAATTGGTTGATAAAGATGATAAGTTCAATTCCAGATCTCATGCTCAACTTGCTAGATTTTCATCAATGGAGTTGTTAAAGCAAGGGGAAAGCCGATCAAAGAGAAACAAGAAGCTAGAATTTAATAGTAGTCGTGTCTCACCAGTTCCAAACGGAGGCTCCCAATGGGGAACACTTAATATTTCTAAATCTTTTAACCCAGTATTTGGATCAACCAAGAAAATTTTCTCAGCTTCTGTTCCTGGATCAAGAATCGTTTCTCGTGCAACATCACCAATATATAGACGGCCTAGCCCTCCTCGTTCAACAACCCCAACCCCAACACTTGGAGGCCTCACCTCCCCTAAAATAGTTGTTGGTGATGCTAAGAGGACGAATGATAGCCTTAGTCAAGAGGTTATTAGATTAAGAGCACAGGTATTTTGTCTTTCATACTCCTCAATACCATTGTGGAAATTTATTTATTATTTTAACTAAGGTTCCCTTTGATTGTTGTTCTTGCTTCCTGCCTTTTCCTATTTAAATCTTGCTTCCTAAGATTGCAAAAATGCAAAAGCAAAAGGTAAAATGCAAAATCATCATTGATTAAAGATGGACAAATGATTAAAATGCAGCAGCAATTGTAGGATGATTGTTCTGAATAAAAGTAAGAAATTAAGATCATAAGTTTTGCTGTCCAAGCAAGTTCACATTTTTATTTTTAATTCTTCAAAATACATTTTTTGCTTTTATATTCAGACATTTTTTTGTTTGAGCAAAAAGCAAAGTCGCAAAAATACTGCTAAATAATTCCTAAATAAATTGCATTGCCTTACATTGTTTTACGCGTTAATGTGTCTGTAGCTAAGGTGAAGGAAGCTTTACCAAAAATTTGAATACATCCTATTTTGTGTGTCAACTGTGAGAGTGGTCAGAATCTTGAGGACCCATTGCTCTTGTTCTTTTCCTTGGTCTGGCTGATATGTTTATTGGATATTATTGTTAATTCATGATGCCTAGATAACAAATGAGTATGCATTATAGATTTCTATCCTAAGTGAGTGTATGAATGCATCAAAACTGGTGCTTCTTCAATGCAATGCAATTAATTCTGAGTTCTTTCAAAACAATGATCAAGATATGGCTTCCTATCTCAAAGCATTAAGATTTCTCTCAGACAATATGTTAACTTAGATGCTAAGCTTTAATTTCAGCAGGATATTTTACAGTTTAGAAGATTTACTCTTGCTTCCTTTGTCTAGCAAAGCTTTTAACTTGCTTGATAGGTTATTTAGTATTTATGCATTATGCCTTACCAATCTTTATCAATCAGGTGGAGAATCTTACACGAAAAGCACAGCTTCAGGAAGTTGAGCTAGAAAGAACAACCAAAGAGCTGAAGGAGGCAATATCAACTGCAGAGGAGGAGACTGCAAAATGTAAAGCAGCAAAGGAAGTCATCAAGTCACTTACTGCCCAAGTAAGATGGATTTATGTTTGTTTGTGGTCCATGATATCTATTTTAATGAAACTTTATCCCTACATCTGTGCATTGCAATGTGTTTGAGTAATCATAGCTTTGAACTATACATTTTTGTCCTTTGTTGTTGTCTTAGCTATATTAAGTCATTTTTCCCAGTTTTTATACTCAAGTTTGTTCTTATTTATGTCTGAAGCTCTTTGCTTACCTTTACTAACAAACTGAGCATGTGAGAAAACCACGAGAATGCTCAAGTTCGATTATACTCCACTTTTGATGGATTCTTTTTTCCTTCTTTTCAGATAGTTGGTTCTACCCTAAAAATTATACAAAATTAACTTTGAATATTTAGTGTCTGACAGAATCCCTTCTTCGTGTTCCTCTAAAGAAGTTGGAATTACAGTTTTTCACCGGACAGTATATGGAAGCATCATGCTAAACTATTGCTCATACAGATTCTAGATGTATTTTTTTTAATTGCATATGAAAAGCTTTTGTAATGAAAGTATTATCTATGATATATAATGTTATCAGTGCATTATATTTATTGTTTAGATACTCTTTTCATGTATTACTAGAGTTAGTTAAGTGGTTAGTTTGACTTCCAATACTTGCATCATGTCTTTCTACTGATATAGATGATATTTGATATGCTGAACAGTTAAAGGATATGGCTGAAAGGCTGCCTGTGGGGGCTGCATGGAACATCAAATCGCCTGCATTTACTTCGTTTGGCTCCAGCCCTGCTCCCCATGATGTCTCTAGTGTTTCAATTGGCAGATTGAATGGTCAAATTGTTTGCCAAGAACCAGCTTCAAATATATCAACCAGCCCATTACTTTCTAATGGGTCCAACACTGCCAGTAATCGTGGTTCAGGCCATAACAAACAAGGCCATATTGAATCAGCAACTAAAAGTGGAGGCAGAACAAAAGAAGGTGAATCTCGAAATGAGAATGAATGGGTTGAGCAAAATGAACCTGGTGTGTATATAACACTTACCTCGCTACCAGGAGGTGCCAAGGATCTCAAGCGAGTTCGCTTCAGGTATGTTATGCATTACTCTTTCTGGCAATTCTAAATTGTGTAGACGAGCAATCCCAAATAAAAGGGACTTGAGAGTGATTTGGTGGAGAGGACATTTGTGTTTGTAGTGAGGCAAAATCAAGTAAGATGATAATAATATGGGAATTAAGAAAGTGTAGGTAAACTGCTCAAGTTAGCCAGATGTCAGCATGGGTTTGGCATTGTCTAAACTTGTGAAAATTAACTGATGCCCATACTTGGCTTTTACGAACAACAAAATCACTATAAGCTTTGAATTTTACTCCTAAATGCATCTCTAAGTACAAGCTTGTAACCTGTGTTTTTGTCCCTACACTTAAGTGCATGGGAACTAAATGAGGTGAAGTATGTTCAGTCTATTTTGTGTATGATTTTAGTTCAAACTGTAACACTCCCACCCATAAACGCATACTTCTTGTGCTTGACGTAGCCATGTCTGTTTAGACCACCTTTGATTGGTGTAATTATCCAAATATTATATCATAATTGACTCTTAGAGATGAACTCAGTAACGGTTATATTGAAGAGAAATTAATTGATCCGAAGCTTTGAATGCAGTCGGAAGCGGTTTAGTGAGAAACAAGCTGAACAATGGTGGGCAGAAAATAGAGCAAAAGTATATGAGCAATACAATATTCGCATGATTGACAAGTCTAGTTTTGGTATTGGGAGTGAGGACTCGGCTCATTAACACAGTGAAACAACTATATGTACATGTAATAGTCTTTTCAAGATTTCTATCCCAATTATTGGGATCTCATTTGATCAATTATATTCGGCTTTCCATTGTTCATGGAGAGTTGAGGGAAGCAGAAATGGTACAAAGGAGACAACTAGAGAGGTTTGATTGGGATTTCTTCTATTTTTGCCCTCAGGTAGGTTTTCCGTTTCATTTTTCATTTTTTCCTTCTATGTGCCTTGCATTGTTTTTTTTTTTTTTTGGGGGGGGGGGGGGGGGGGGGTGGAGAAGATTGAGGGTGACAAATGTAAATTCTTAGTATGTTGCTGGCTCTTGTTGATAGCAGCAGCCATGTAAATTCATAAGCAAATGAAATCTGCAGGAAAAAAAAATATAGTTTTTCATTTTTGTTTTGATTTATATAATTTCAGTTCAGGCTTGTTCAAAGCTGATGCCATTTTCTGATTTATGTTCTTGCGTTTTACTTGTCAATAGTTTTGTACTCCCGACACCATCTACTCTTTTTTTCTTTGCAGCCATTCATGTGTATTTTCATCTGTTAAATCCATGGAAAAATCTTCGATAAGCAAACATAGGATACGAAATAAAAATTAAAAAAAAAAAAGTAGGAACTCAATTAAACATCTAGAATGATAGTGATGGATCTTTGGGTAGTCAACTAATAATATATAATATGTTTTATCTTATATTTTCTTAAAATTTATTTTTTATTTTTGTATGTATCATATTTCTAATCTCATTTCTAAAGTCTAAAAATTTCACTATCATTGTGTTTGATAATAGTATATTTGATAATATATATATATATATATAAACAATATACTAATAAACACATGATGAACTCATAAAATTATAAAACAAAAATATTACTGTAACAGCATTATACTTTTCACAATAACATAATTTACAATTAATGGTAAAATTACTGATTATATGGTTTTCAATTAATTAGAGGAATTTTTTAAAATTCTTTTGGTAATTTAAAATTGAAATAAAAAAAGAAGTATAAATAAAGCAGTCATTAAACATTTTATCAAAATAAGAAAATTAAATATACTTTAAAAAGAAATGAATGAAGATGAAATTTTGATACTAAAAGTTATGATATTTTTCTATCCCTTTGTAAAGTAGTTTCAACATGATTTTTTTTTAAAAAAAATGAATTATAACCATGTGTGATAGAGATTTAAAGTTAAATTAAAAGTGAAAAAAATCTGGAGAATAAGGGTTGTACTGAAGCTAAATCTCTTTTTCTTTAAATCCCCTAAACTTTGCTTACAAAATTTTTTTCTTAAACTTGGACCTTTCTTTATTTAAAAAAAAAAAGGAAAAACACATTTGATATTTGGTTGAAAATTTCAATATTGTTGAGAAAGTTGAAAAATTAATTTGATTTTTGTTATGTTAATTTGATTATGATTTAAATTTTGTGACAACTCGATTTTAAAATTTTACAAGTGTTAGATATAATAAATGAATAAATATTAATGTAATTTGAGTATCTCTTAAATTATAAGGCATCAAATTAAATTATAAAACACAAATAATAAAATTAACATTTTAAGTTTAGAGGACCAATTTAAATGTATTTAATATACAATATAAACATGCTAAAGGGGGTTTCAAAGATTTTTGGGGGCCTCAAGCTCACATTTGCAACCGCCTCCGCTGGAATGTACAAATATGGTTCAATTCCAAATCAAGGTTGTATGATATGAGCTGCCTGCCTGCTAAAATGAAGCACATTGAAACTGCATATTTGCTTCATTAGCTTAGTGAGGTGTGAACCAGAAAGCATGGCCATGTTGAGCTAAAATAAATGCAAGATTGCTACACAAATATGTAAAATATTGTATATAAAATTAGGTACTGAGTCTGAAGCAAAACATTTTTACTCCCAGAATTAGGTATATCAGCCACTGATTACCTAAAAAAAAAAAGTTATTACACCTCTGCAGAATCGAAATCTAGAGAGAAGATGGATTCTTCTCCAACTTCAATAACAGTGTGCTCTGATGCTTCATCACATATTAATTGGGCTTGTTCGCGGATTTCTTGGCATTTATGTGATTGTCTCAATCCTTCTAGCGCCATTGATACCTCCTTCATTGTAGGCCTTTTCTTGCTATCCAATCTCAAGCATCTAATTGCAAGATGTGCAACAGCATAAATATCCTGCTTGGTAGCTTCTTTAGCAACTTGGTTGTCTAAAATCTGAAGCAACTTGTTCTCTTTTGTCGATGAAATGAAGTATGCAACGAGGTTTCTTTCTTCCTCAGCTCGGGTAAAAGAGACTGGTTTCTCCCCTGTTAATAGCTCAATAAGCACAACGCCAAAGCTATAAACATCGCTTTTCTCCGTGAATTGGCTTGACTGGAAGTATTCTGGATCCAGATATCCAAATGTTCCTTGAACAAGTGTGGTCAAGTGAGTTTTTTCATCGGGGATTGATCTTGAAGTCCCGAAATCAGACACTTTGGCATTGTATTTAGCGTCTAGGAGAATGTTGGAAGATTTAATATCACGGTGAAAGATGGGGATTGAAGCTGCAGAATGCATGTAAGCTACTGCTTCGGCAACTTCACAAGCAATTCTCAAACGATTCTCCCACGAAAGTGAGGATTCATTATCGTAATTGTGATGAATGTGGTCGGAAAGTGTGCCATTTGGTATGAACTCGTACACTATTATTGGAAATTCAGTCTCTAAACAACAACCAAGTAATTTGACTATGCTCCGATGATTGATTTGGGAAAGAATGACAACTTCATTTATAAACTGCTGGATCTGGGACTTGTCTATTGCTTTAGACCTTTTAATAGCAACGATTCTGCCGTCATGTAACATTCCTTTGTAAACCGTCCCAAAGCCTCCCTGCCCAAGAATCCTACTCCTGTTGAAGTTGTCAGTCGCTTTTTGTAGCTCCTCCGCAGCAAGTACTTTTAATTTTTCTCCACCCCCAGAAGATGACAGTCTTTGGTTTAACATCAAGCCCCCGTTCTGCTTAAAGAAATTCTCTCTACGGATTTTGTCCTTTCTTTTTCCAAGTCGCAAATACATGTTGTAACCAAATAGTGCTAAACAAAGAAACCCCAAACCAATACCAACACCTAAAGTAAGCAAATGAAAGAAAAGGAAAGCCTTATTCAATCTTGCAGTTGGATGGATGACTTAAATCAGCTCAAGTTGCAGATAAATTCAATTGTTTTACTCATTTAACACCGTTTAAAAAGTAAAATAGGAATGTGGAAGAATGTAGAAAAAGACTGACCTAAAATGGTTGCCAATTTCAGTGGGAAACCCTGATGGTTTCTATCTTGTGATGCACAATGATGACCATCTTTCAACTCATATGCATATTGGCCATTTGGACAGCTACAAAACAAACTTGCAGGATTTTTACTGCAATTTTCGCTTTTCATTGGAATCAACAAAGGCGCAAAAGGAAAGATCATATCATCCTCTGTCAGATTGTTTGCCGCGACTATGGCTTGTTCATCTGCCCCAAATAGTTCTCCAATTGATGAAAAGGAATCACCCCATGTCACGATATAAGTCAGCAAAAAAGCCACGTGGTTAGCTGTCTGGTTTTGGCTAGGACAAGCACATCGCAGGGGAATTGTTAGTTGTCCACCCGCCTCCAGACTCTCACTGTCGAAATAATTTTGAGCTTCCAGAGCCTGGCAAGTGGTCAGGCCTTGGTAAGTATCATTGGCTATTGAGAAATATGTGTCGCCTGTTCTAATCGTGTAAGGGGCGATGTACTGGTACAAACTGCCCCAACAAGAACAAGTAATCGGAACTATAACAATCCCCTCAGGAGAAAACTTGTGGCTGATAGAGACGTTATTGATGGAGGCAATATTCGAGGCGTCGGAACCTAGCAGGGAGGCGATGCTTTCAGGAGAGTCATATGGTTGACGGGAACGGAAGGTGACAAAGGACCAGCAGGACTTCTGAATCCCGTTACAGTAGTACCCTTTGGATATAGAAACATTAGTTTTTCCGCAGTTGAGCTGTTGGTTGTTTAGGTACTGTTGTTGGTGTTAGGAAAATGGGGTCCAGTCCCATGTAAGTGGTTTTGGACCAAGTAAAGGCCATGGGCCTTGATCTTTTATTTTACACAGAGCCCTAGCTACTTAATAAAAAAGAGGTGGGGTTGTTTAAGGTGTGTGTCGACAACCAAGCAGAGAAAGAAGAAAAGCCAGGAAAAGCAGAGAGAGAAAAAGGAGAAGGGAGAGTTGATTAAACGGAAGTCGATCCGTGGTCCGATTGAGTTGGAACCTTGTCAGGAGGTTTACGATTCAGAGTTATACATTCTGAACGGTGAAGATCGGGTTTGAAGCTCTCTAGGAACAAATCCAGGGTGTATTTGTTGAGTCACTTATTTGGTGAGATTTCTCCAATTGTTTCTCTAGTTGTTGATTAGCTCTAGTTTTAGCTAGAGAAGAACTTTGTATAACTATTATTTGATAGTGAAGATTTTTCTGGTGGCCCGTGGTTTTTCCCTCTACACTGGAGGGTTTTCCACGTAAATCTTGGTGTGCTTTATTTTTCCTGCGCATTTGATTATTGATTGTTGTCTATTGCTTCTGTATTGTTGTGATTATTGCTTCAGGCGCAACAAGTGGTATCAGAGCGAGGGTTATTTTGAGACATCGATACAGAAGTAACCCAGGATAGAAGTAAATTCTGTTTGAGATCATGGAAGGTGATACAGGTTCCATGATAAAATTGACAGCATCAAATTATTCAATTTGGAAGCCTATGATGGAGGATCATCTATACTGCAAAGATTTGTATGAGCCAGTATTGGGTGATTCGGCTAAACCAGCAGATATGAAAGATGAAAGCTGGAAGAAGCTAGGTAGAAAGACGCTGGCTACAATCAGAAAATGGGTTGATATCAGCGTGTTCCATCATGTAGCGCAGGAATCGGATGCTCACATTGTTTGGGAAAAATTGGCAGCATTGTATGAGAGAAAAACAGGTATGAATAAAGTTATGCTTGTTAAAAAGATTGCAACTTGTAAGTCTAAACATAAATCTAAGTTTAGAGGTAAAGTGAAGTGTTTCCATTGTGGTAAGGCTGGTCATATAAAACGAAATTGTAGAATCTTGAAGCAAGAGCGAAAAGATGAGAAAGGCAAGAGTTCAGATGATGGCAATGTTGCAGCAGTGAATTCAGATAGTGATTCAGTTACTTTGATTTGTACACATGGTGATTGTAATCATGTTAGTGATCCCGGCATTGAGTGGATAGTTGACACAGGAGCGGCATATCATTGTGTTCCTAAGAGAAAGTTGTTTACAACTTACAAAGCAGGAGACTTTGGTTGTACCAAGATGGGAAACAAGAATGTGTCGCAGATTGTTGGGATTGGTGATATTGGTGTACAAACTAGTACAGGCTGCATGTTGACTTTGAGGGATGTCAGACACATTCCAGATATGAGAATGAACTTGCTTGCTATTAATGTCCTTGATAAGGAGGGATATGAAAGCCGACAAAAGAATGGACAGTGGAAGCTTCTCAAAGGATCTATGGTAGTTGCAAAGGGAAAACTATGCTGCACAATGTATAAGACATGGATGCAATTGAACGGTAACCAGGTAAATACCGTTGAAAATGATGCTTCAGCAAACTTGTGGCACAGGAGGCTGGCACACATGAGTGAAAAGGGGTTACAGGTTTTGGCAAGGCACTCTCTCATTCCCTTGACCAAAGGTATGTTTCTCGATTCATGTGATTATTGTTTGTTTGGTAAGCATCATAGAGTTTCTTTTCGTAAAAGTTCTCAGAGAAAAGAAAATAGATTGGAATTAATTTATTCTGATGTATGTGGTCCCATTGAGGTTGAGTCATTAGGTGGTAGCAGATATTTTGTTACTTTTATTGATGATGCTTCACGTAAAACTTGGGTGTATATGTTGAAATATAAAAGTCAGGTACTGCAGTATTTTCAAAAATTTCATGCCATGGTTGAAAGGATGACAGGGTTACCCTTGAAGTGTATTCGAACTGATAATGGTGGGGAATACACATCTAAAAGCTTTGAAGAGTATTGCTCAAAGCATGGGATCAGGCATGAGAGGACAGAATCTGGAACACCGCAGCATAATGGTATAGCTGAAAGAATGAATCGCACCATTGTGGAAAAAGTCAGATGTATGTTGAGGATGGCAAAATTACCAAAGTCATTCTGGGGTGAAGCAGTCAACACAGCTTGTTATTTACTTAACAGGTCACCATCAGTTCCTTTGGGCTTTGACATTCCAGAAAGAGTGTGGACAGGAAAAGATGCTTCATACTCTCACTTAAAAGTTTTTGGGTGTAAAGCATTCATGCATGTACCAAAAGAGCAGAGGTCAAAGCTTGATAGTAAAGCTACACAGTGTGTGTTTGTAGGATATGGTGATGAGGAATTTGGCTACAGGGTATGGGATCCAGTAAAGAGAAAGACACTCAGAAGCAGAGATGTGGTCTTTCATGAAAAAGAAACCATAGCAGACCTTGAGAAAAATGAGAAGACTACACGAGTTACTGTTGAGTGTGATGTTTCAACACCGACAGGGATTTCACAGGAAAGAGCCACAGATGGTGAAAATGAGCCAGAAACAGAACTTGGGGATATGAATGAGCTAGCCATAGTTGGTGATGAGCCAGATGCTATTAGTTTTGAGCAGGGGGAGCAATCCTCTCTACCTGAGAGTGTTGAGCAGTGGGAGCTACCTTCAGCATCAAGTGATGTAGAGTCTCAGCTCAGGAGATCTACTAGAGAGCGCAGGCCATCTACCAGGTATCCAAGTTCAGATTTTATTTTAGTTACCAGTGAAGGGGAGCCAGAAAGCTTTCAAGATGTGCAGGCTACTCCGGATAGAGAGCACTGGTTAAAAGCAATGAAAGAAGAGATGGAGTCATTGCGAAAGAATGGTACTTATGATCTTGTTAAACTTCCAACAGGGAAGAGGCCATTAAAGAATAAATGGGTGTTCAAGTTGAAAAAGGATGGTGACAAACTAGTGAGGTACAAAGCTCGATTGGTAGTAAAAGGTTTTTCTCAGAAACCAGGCATCGATTTTGATGAGATTTTTGCTCCAGTTGTAAAAATGAGTTCTATTCGAGTGGTACTGGGATTGGCAGCTAGTTTGAATCTTGAGCTTGAGCAACTTGATGTTAAAACTGCATTTTTGCATGGTGATTTGCAGGAGGACATTTATATGAATCAGCCTGAGGGTTTTGAAGTGAAAGGGAAAGAGCACTTAGTTTGCAAATTGAAGAAAAGCTTGTATGGCTTGAAACAAGCTCCGCGACAGTGGTACAAGAAGTTTGATTCTTTTATGATGAGTCATAGCTATAAAAGAACAACAGCAGATTCTTGTGTGTATATTAAACAATTCCCTAATGGTAACTTCATTATCCTATTATTATATGTTGATGATATGTTGATTGTAGGACAAGATGCTAGTATGGTTTGCAGGTTGAAAGAACAATTGTCTAAGTCCTTTGATATGAAAGATTTAGGTCCAGCAAAGCAGATTCTTGGTATGGACATTATCCGAGATAGGAGAGCTGGAAAGCTGTGGTTGTCACAGGAAAAGTATGTTGAACGAGTGCTTGGTAGATTCAACATGCAACATGCTAAATCAGTTAGCAGTTCACTTGCCAACCATTTTCATCTAAGTAAGAAATCTTGTCCAGTGTCTAAGGAAGAGCAACTAGCTATGTCTAGTATTCCTTATTCTTCTGCAGTCGGTTCTTTAATGTATCTTATGGTTTGTACAAGGCCTGACATTGCTCATGCAGTTGGTGTAGTGAGCAGATTTCTTTCTAATCCAGGGAAGGTTCACTGGGAAGCAGTAAAATGGATTTTTAGATATTTGAGGGTACCTCAAAAATGTGTTTGACTTATGGAGTTTCACAACCAATTCTAGAAGGGTTTACTGATGCTGACATGGCAGGCGATCTTGATGGTAGGAAATCTACTTCAGGGTATTTGTTCACTTTTGCAGGAGGAGCTGTATCTTGGCAGTCTAAGTTGCAGAAGTGTGTTGCTTTGTCAACTACAGAAAGCTGAGTATATTGCAGCAACTGAAGCATGTAAAGAAATGCTTTGGATGAAACGTTTTCTTTTTGAATTGGGGTTGAATCAGAAAGAGTATGTGGTATTTTGTGATAGCCAGAGTGCTTTAGATTTGAGTAAGAATACCATGTACCATGCTAGAACAAAGCACATTGATGTTAGATATCATTGGTTACGTTCAGTGATTGAAGAACAACAGATGCTATTGAAGAAAGTCCATACTGATAAAAATGTGGCAGATATGTTGACTAAGATACTTCCCAGGGGAAAAGCTTGAGCTTTGCAGTAAACTTGGCCGGAATGAGTTCCCTGGCCAAGGTAAGTTCCAAATGAAATTGCTATGGTGATGAATCTCCTTCTAATGGGACTGGAGGGGGAGATTGTTAGGAAAATGGGGTCCAGTCCCATGTAAGTGGTTTTGGACCAAGTAAAGCCATGGGCCTTGATCTTTTATTTTACACAGAGCCCTAGCTACTTAATAAAAAGAGGTGGGGTTGTTTAAGGTGTGTGTCGACAACCAAGCAGAGAAAGAAGAAAAAGCCAAGAAAAGCAGAGAGAGAAAAAGGAGAAGGGAGAGTTGATTAAACGGAAGTCGATCCGTGGTCCGATTGAGTTGGAACCTTGTCAGGAGGTTTATGATTCAGAGTTATACATTCTGAACGGTGAAGATCGGGTTTGAAGCTCTCTAGGAACAAAATCCAGGGTGTATTTGTTGAGTCACTTATTTGGTGAGATTTCTCCAATTGTTTCTCTAGTTGTTGATTAGCTCTAGTTTTAGCTAGAGAAGAACTTTGTATAACTATTATTTGATAGTGAAGATTTTTCTGGTGGCCCGTGGTTTTTCCCTCTACACTGGAGGGTTTTCCACGTAAATCTTGGTGTGCTTTATTTTTCCTGCGCATTTGATTATTGATTGTTGTCTATTGCTTCTGTATTGTTGTGATTATTGCTTCAGGCGCAACAGTTGGCCCTGCGATGGATGATGAAACTGTGACAGAAGCATAAGCGTACAGAGAAAGTGGGAGAGAGAAAAAAGCCCCATGCCCATGGCCATGGATATGGATATTACAATTTTGTAGTCTAGGCTTGCTTAATATAATATTCTCACTTTCCGATCAAGCAAATATGCAGTCAGAAAAGAGTTTCTAGGTTTCAACATTCAATTTTCTACATGCCAACCTTCTCCACGCTTTCGTTTTCCCAAAAAAACAAAAAAAGACTAAATTTCAAAATCATATATCGTGGTCAAGCAGCCACAATAGGGGCTGGGCAAAACGCGTTAAAATTTTCAATAATGTAAACGAGTTTGGTTCAGCAAAAATGAAATATCATAGAGGATGATAATGAAACTTTACTTTATTCAAAGTCAATTAGCCAATAATCAGTCACGCAATTGCTCACCAGTTGATACCTTTAATTCTCCTACGCAAACAGAAGAAATTGACTAAAACACTCAAAGTGGAGTCCTTTTTTCCTTTCTTTATTTAAGCATAGTTTGAAAAAATAATCAAGCTCATACAGATTCTAGATGTATTTTTTTTAATTGCATATGAAAAGCTTTTGTAATGAAAGTATTATCTATGATATATAATGTTATCAGTGCATTATATTTATTGTTTAGATACTCTTTTCATGTATTACTAGAGTTAGTTAAGTGGTTAGTTTGGCTTCCAATACTTGCATCATGTCTTTCTACTGATATAGATGATATTTGATATGCTGAACAGTTAAAGGATATGGCTGAAAGGCTGCCTGTGGGGGCTCCATGGAACATCAAATGGCCTGCATTTACTTCGTTTGGCTCCAGCCCTGCTCCCAATGATGTCTCTAGTGTTTCAATTGGCAGATTGAATGGTCAAATTGTTTGCCAAGAACCAGATTCAAATATATCAAGCAGCCCGTTGCTTTCTAATGGGTCCAACACTGCCTGTAATCGTGGTTCAGGCCATAACAAACAAGGCCATATTGAATCAGCAACTAAAAGTGGAGGCAGAACAAAAGAAGGTGAATCTCGAAATGAGAATGAGTGGGTTGAGCAAAATGAACCTGGTGTGTATATAACACTTACCTCGCTACCAGGAGGTGCCAAGGATCTCAAGGGAGTTCGCTTCAGGTATGTTATGCATTACTCTTTCTGGCAATTCTAAATTGTGCAGACGAGCAATCCCAAATAAAAGGGACTTGAGAGTGATTTGGTGGAGAGGACATTTGTGTTTGTAGTGAGGCAAAATCAAGTAAGATGATAATAATATGGGAATTAAGAAAGTGTAGGTAAACTGCTCAAGTTAGCCAGATGTCAGCATGGGTTTGGCATTGTCTAAACTTGTGAAAATTAACTGATGCCCATACTTGGCTTTGACGAACAACCAAATCACTATAAGTTTTGAATTTTCTTCCTAAATGCAAGCTTGTAACCTGTGTTTTTGTCCCTACACTAAGTGCATGGGAACTAAATGAGGTGAAGTATGTTCAGTCTATTTTGTGTATGATTTTAGTTCAAACTGTAACACTCCCACCCATAAACGCATACTTCTTGTGCTTGAGGTAGCCATGTCTGTTTAGACCACCTTTGATTGGTGTAATTACCCAAATATTATATCATAATTGACTCTTAGAGATGAACTCAGGCACGGTTATATTGAAGAGAAATTAATTGATCCAAAGCTATGAATGCAGTCGGAAGCGGTTTAGTGAGAAACAAGCTGAACAGTGGTGGGCAGATAATAGAGCAAAAGTATATGAGCAATACAATATTCGCATGATTGACAAGTCTAGTTTTGGTATTGGGAGTGAGGACTCGGCTCATTAACACAGTGAAACAACTATATGTACATGTAATAGTCTTTTCAAGATTTCTATCCCAATTGTTGGGATCTCATTTGATCAATTATATTCGGCTTTCCATCGTTCATGGAGAGTTGAGGGAAGCAGAAATGGTACTAAGGAGACAACTAGAGAGGTTTGATTGGGATTTCTTCTATTTTTGCCCTCTGGTAGGTTTTCCGTTTCATTTTTCATTTTTTCCCTCTATGTGCCTTGTGTTTGTTTTTTTCTTTTTTTTTTTTTTTGGGGGGGGGGGGGGAGAGAGAGAGGATTGAGGGTGACAAATGTAAATTCTTAGTATGTTGCTGGCTCTTGTTGATAGCAGCAGCCATGTAAATTCATAAGCAAATGAAATCTGCAGGAAAAAAAAATAGTTTTTCATTTTTGTTTTGATTTATATAATTTCAGTTCATGCTTGTTCAAAGCTTATGCCATTTTCTGATTTATGTTCTTGCGTTTTAACTTGTCAATAGTTTTGTACTCCCGACACCATCTGCTCTTTTTTTCTTTGCAGCCATTCATGTGTATTTTCATCTGTTAAATCCATGGAAAGATCATCGATAAGCAAACATAGGATACGAAATAAAAATTTAAAAAAAAAAAGTAGGAACTCAATTAAACAACATCTAGAATGACAGTGATGATAGTGATGGATCTTTGGGGAGTCAACTAATAATATATAATATGTTTTATCTTATTTTTTCTTAAAATTTATTTATCATACTTTAATTAATTTTTTTATTTTGGTATGTATCATATTTCTAATCTCATTTCTAAAGTCTAAAAATTTCACTATCATTGTATTTGATAATATATATATAAACAATACACTCATAAACACATGATGAACTCATAAAATTATAAAACAAAAATATTACTATAACAACATTATACTTTTCACAATAACATAATTTACAATTAATGGTAAAATTACCGATTATATGGTTTTCAATTAATTAGAGGAATTTTTTAAAATTCTTTTGGTAATTTAAAATTGAAATAAAAAAAGAAGTATAAATAAAGCAATCATTAAACATTTTATCAAAATAAGAAAATTAAATATACTTTTTAAAAAGAAATGAATGAAGATGAAATTTTGATACTAAAAATTATGATATTTTTCTATCCCTTTGTAAAGTAGCTTCAACATGATTTTTTTTTTTAAAAAAAATGAATTATAACCATGTGTGATAGAGATTTAAAGTTAAATTAAAAGTGAAAAAAATATGGAGAATAAGGGTTGTACTGAAGCTAAATCTCTTTTTCTTTAAATCCCCTAAACTTTGCTTACAAAATTTTTTTCTGAAACTTGGACCTGTCTTTATTAAAAAAAAAAAAAAAGAAAAACACATTTGATATTTGGTTGAAAATTTCAATATTGTTGAGAAAGTTGAAAAATTAATTTAATTTTTGTTAAGTTAATTTGATTATGATTTAAATTTTGTGACAACTCGATTTTAAAATTTTACAAGTGTTAGATATAATAAATGAATAAATATCAATGTAATTTGAGTATCTCTTAAATTATAAGGCATCAAATTAAATTATAAAACTCAAATAATAAAATTAACATTTTAAGTTTAGAGGACCAATTTAAATGTATTTAATATACAATATAAATATGCTAAAGGAGGTTTCAAAGATTTTTGGGGGCCTCAAGCTGACATTACCAACCGCCTCCGCTGGAATGCACAAATATCGTTCAATTCCAAATCAAGGTTGTATGATATGAGCTGCCTGCCTGCTAAAATGAAGCACATTGAAACTGCATATTTACTTCATTAGCTTAGTGAGGTGTGAACCAGAAAGCATGGCCATGTTGAGCTAAAATAAATGCAAGATTGCTACACAAATATGTAAAATATTGTATATAAAATTAGGTACCGAGTCTGAAGCAAAACATTTTTACCCCCAGAATTAGGTATATCAGCCACTGATTACCTTAAAAAAAAAGTTATTACACCTCTGCAGAATCGAAATCTAGAGAGAAGATGGATTCTTCAATTTCAATAACAGTGTGCTCTGATGCTTCATCACATATTAATTGGGCTTGTTCATGGATTTCTTGGCATTTATGTGATTGTCTCAATCCTTCTAGCGCCATTGATACCTCCTTCATTGTAGGCCTTTTCTTGCTATCCAATCTCAAGCATCTAATTGCAAGATGTGCAACAGCATAAATATCCTGCTTGGTAGCTTCTTTAGCAACTTGGTTGTCTAAAATCTGAAGCAACTTGTTCTCTTTTGTCGATGAAATGAAGTATGCAACGAGGTTTCTTTCTTCCTCAGCTCGGGTAAAAGAGACTGGTTTCTCCCCTGTTAATAGCTCAATAAGCACAACGCCAAAGCTATAAACATCGCTTTTCTCCGTGAAGTGGCTTGACTGGAAGTATTCTGGATCCAGATATCCAAATGTTCCTTGAACAAGTGTGGTCAAGTGAGTTTTTTCATCGGGGATTGATCTTGAAGTCCCGAAATCAGACACTTTGGCATTGTATTTAGCGTCTAGGAGAATGTTGGAAGATTTAATATCACGGTGAAAGATGGGGATTGAAGCTGCAGAATGCATGTAAGCTACTGCTTCGGCAACTTCACAAGCAATTCTCAAACGATTCTCCCATGAAAGTGAGGATTCATTATCGTAGTTGTGATGAATATGGTCGAAAAGTGTGCCATTTGGTATGAACTCGTACACTATTATAGGAAATTCAGTCTCTAAACAACAACCAAGTAATTTGACTATGCTCCGATGATTGATTTGGGAAAGAATGACAACTTCATTTATAAACTGCTGGATCTGGGACTTGTCTATTGCTTTAGACCTTTTAATAGCAACGATTCTACCATCATGTAACATTCCTTTGTAAACCGTCCCAAAGCCTCCCTGCCCAAGAATCCGACTCCTGTTGAAGTTGTCAGTCGCTTTTTGTAGCTCCTCCGCAGCAAATATTTTTAATTTTTCTCCACCCCCAAAAGTTGACAGTCTTTGGTTTAACATCAAGCCCCCGTTCTGCTTAAAGAAATTCTCTCTACGGATTTTGTCCTTTCTTTTTCCAAGTCGCAAATACATGTTGTAACCAAACAGTGTTAAACAAAGAAACCCCAAACCAATACCAACACCTGAAGTAAGCAAATGAAAGAAAAGGAAAGCCTTATTCAATCTTGCAGTTGGATGGATGACTTAAATCAGCTCAAGTTGCTGATAAATTCAATTGTTTTACTCATTTAACACAGTTTTAAAAGTAAAATAGGAATGTTTTGAAGAACGTAGAAAAAGACTGACCTAAAATGGTTGCCAATTTCAGTGGGAAACCCTGATGGTTTCTATCTTGTGATGCACAGTGACGACCATCTTCCAACTCATATGCATATTGGCCGTTTGGACAGCTACAAAACAAACTTGCAGGATTTTTACTGCAAGTTTCGCTTTTCATTGGAATCAACAAAGGCGTAAAAGCAAAGATAGCTTCCGCTGTCACATTGTTTGCCGCGAGTATGGCTTGCGCATCTGCCCCAAATTGTTCCCCAATTGATGAAGCGGTCTCACCGAATTTCACGATATAAGTCAGCAGAAAAGCCACGTGGTTAGCTGTCTGGTTTTGGCTAGGACAAGCACATCGCAGGGGAATTGTTAGTTGTGCACCCACCTCCAGACTCTCACTGTCGAAATAATTTTGACCTTCCAGAGCCTGGCAAGTGGTCAGGCCTTGGTAAGTATCATTGGCTATTTTGAAATATGTGTCGCCTTTTCTAACCGTGTAAGGGGCGACGTACTGGTACAAACTGCCCCAACAAGAGCAAGTAATCGGAACTATAACAATCTCCTCACGAGAGAACTTGTGGGTGATAGAGACGTTATTGATGGAGGCAATATTCGAGGCGTCGGAGCCTAGCAGAGAGGCGATGCTTTCAGGAGAGTCATAAGGTTGACGGGAACGGAAGGTGACAAAGGACCCGCAGGACTTCTGAATCCCGTTACAGTAGTACCCTTTGGATATAGCAATATTAGTGTTACTGCAGTCGAGCTGTGAGTTGTTTAGGTACTGTTGTTGGCCCTGCGATGGATGATGAAACTGCGACAGAAGCATAAGCGTATAGAGAAAGTGGGAGACAGAAAAAAGCCCGATGGCCATGGCCATGGATATGAATATGATACTAAATTTTGTAGTCTAGGCTTGCTTCATATAATATTCTCAGTCTTCGATCAAGCAAATCATGCTATGACGGTCAGAATGGAGTTTCCAAGTGCCAACATTGAATTTTCTGCGTGCCAACCTTCTTGACGGTTTCGTTTTCCCGAAAAAAAAAAAAGGCCTAAATTTCAAAATCATATACCATGGTCAAGCAGCAACAATAAAGGCTGAGCAAAACTCGTTGAAATTTCAATAATATAAAGGAGTTTGGTTCAGCAAAACCGAAATATTATACACAATGATAATGAAAATTTACTTTTTTCAAAGTCAATTAGCCAATAATGAGTCACGCAATCGCTCACCAGTTGACACCTTTAATGCTCCTAATCAACGGAAGTAATCGATTAACACACTCAAAGCTGAGTTTTATTTATTTATTTATTGAGTTAAATACATATTTGACTCTTAAATTTTATAATTTTTATTACATTGACATTTTAAAATTTTTTCTGTTATATTGGTATTTGATCATTTAAATTTATTATCATGTTCGTATTTACGTCTAACGTGTTAGACAACTTTATAAATGCAATAAGAATATTTAATAATATATTGACACAGATAAAAAAATTTTAATCAGTCTCATATCATCAATGTCGAGTCACTTTAAAAAAAATTCAGAAAAAAAAAATTTCTAAAAAATTACAAAAAATCCAAGAAATTTAGAAGTAAAAAAAAAGCTAAAACATTTTAAAAATTTTAAGAAATTCTAAAAATTTTAAAAATTATAAAATAATTTTAACAAAATTTTTTGGAAATTGAAAAAATTGTAAAAATTTTTAAAAAATTATAAAACAATCTAAAAAAATTATAAATTTTTTAAAAAAATTTTAACAATTTTTAAAAATTCTAAAATAATTTTAGAAAACTTTAAAAAATTAAAAAATTCCGAAAAATTTTAAAAAAATCCAAAACTTTTAAAAATTTTAAAAAAT